CACGCCCTTTGCGGCGCCCCGCCCCCCTTCGCCGGGACCCCACCCACCGGCCCGCGCGCCTCTCTATGGGCGACTCCAAGTGAAGGGATTTACTTGGGCTGGAGGTCTCGGGGGCGCATGCGCACTTCTTGTCACCCAAAAGCAGCTCTGGCCAGGCGCTTCGCTGGTGAGGCGCGCACTGCTTAGTGTCGTCGCCGCGGAAGCGGAGGGAGGCGGGCTGCCTTCATGCAGCCAGGGCGTAGGGTGGCCGTATTTCAGAAAGTAAAAATCAGGACACCCCGAAAGTTGTTGAGCAGCTTTTTTGAGGAAGACCTCGAACTTGTTGAGCTTTTTTTTTTTAAAAGGAAACCATCGAAATTGAGCTTTTAAAAAAGTTATTAAATTTGTATACAGTACTGCCCTTCGTCTGATGATGTCAGGGCGGTTCACAGCATACAAATAAATAGCAAAACAGTAAATACAAAACATTGTGCAGGGACAACTTGAAACATCATTGTACTGATCAGCAACACTATATTAGCAGTCAAGTGTTCAGAGTACTTTGTATGTTTTCTCCATAGTCCTTATGAAGAAATAAACGTGTAAATGAGAGTATTGTTCTTCCTATATTGCAGTTAAGATCTGAGAGCAGTGAAATATGGCAGGGGCAAGAACAGACTTGGGAATTTGCTTAAAGCTCATATTCTAGCTACATGAGCTCAAATACTGCACTGTGGTCTAAACCGCTGAGCCTCTTGGGCTTGCTGATCGGAAGGTTGGCGGTTCGAATCCAGGGTAGGCTGTTGTTGCTCTGTCCCAGCTTCTGCCAACCTAGCAGTTTGAAAGCACACCAGTGCAAGTAGATAAATAAGTACCACTGTGGCAGGAAGATAAACGGTGTTTCCGTACGCTCTGGAACTCATCACGGTGTCCCGTTGCGCCAGAAGCGGTTTAGTCATGCTGGCCACATGACCCAGAAAGCTTTCTGCAAACACTGGCTCCCTTGGCCTGAAGTGAGATGAGCGCCGCACCCCAGTTGCCTTTGACTGGACTTAACCGTCCAGGGGTCATTTACTGTCAAATGTGTTTAGTTAGCTGCTCCTGCTCCCACTTCTCTGAAGTTTCTGGCCTAGCTAAAGCCTTGTGAGGAATGTTCTGATCTCTGCCCTGTTATTCTTCCCTCATCTCACAAACATCTTGCAAATAATTCCAGGGAGCTTTTGAAATAATTACCTAAGTCTCTGCATTCTTCTCCCATTTGTCTGATGGCCTTGCAGCTTCTGTGCTACACAATGTATGTGGGTGGGGAAGGAGCACAGAAATGACAATGGAGAGCATTTGCATGGGTATCTTTGTTAAAACACTGGGAGTATAATCAAGCACTTAGTGGAGATGACTGCAAAATATAACAAAGCTCAAAACAGGGTTATCGGTCTACACAGCTAAATTATCTTGCTAAGCCGTGAGGCAGTCACGCTGAAATATGGACATGACTCCAAGAGAAGCCATCAAACATACAGACAAGGTGTTCTGAAGATCAAGCAAACAACCAGAATCATTGTAGAGAAAGGTGGGCTGGTTCTCACTGCTATTCTATCCTGCCTTGGAAAAGAACACACAGAACAAGTCAAATGCTATTGGGCTAAAACAGGGATTCTCAAACTAATATTGTGAGTTTCTCTCAAAAAACAAATACCTTTTTTCCCTGCCACTGCCACCCCTGGCAAAAAAGGACCAGAAACTTCACTGGTGATGACACTTGGAGACGCAATGCAATGGCTTAGATTAAAGAAAGAACAGGGACAGATGAGGATCTGAGGTATGAAACTTCCTGCAATCTCACACAAGAATTCAGGGTTTCTCAGTGGAGCATTAACTTTGCCTTCATTAGGACAGCATAGGAAAAACTCTTAGTGAGGATAGGAAGTCTGAAACAAGAACAGACTCCCTCGGAAGGTGGTGAACTCTCCTTCATTGGAGACTTTTAAGCAGAGGCTGGATGGCCTTCTGTCCTGGATGTTTTAGTCGAGATTCCTGCAATGCAGGAACTAGATGACCTGCAAGGTACATTCCAACCCTACAATTCTTTGATTCTACGAGTCTGCGAGAGAGCTGGCTCTCTCTGGTAGCTTGTTGGGCAAGGAGAATGGCAGTGTTTTGCATGTCCCCTCTATAAGACATTACAAATTTACTATATTAAATGGAGATATTGAATCATTAATATTCAGTGCATTATTGGTGTTTCTTAAATATGGCCAGGCACAAATACCTGAGTGCAGTCTATGTATAGACATTGTAGTTTAGGAGGGTTGGGGGGAAATACTTGATCATTTTACTCCCAGCTTATAATACTGCATCAATATCACATTTTTGTCAGAAACAAAAATGTCACTTCCTGGGCTTCTACACCTGCAAAATGAAATTATGCAAAGCCACATAATTCAGTCTTCCTGAGCATAGGGCTGCCTTTTATTTATTTAGCACAGAGTAGAGCATTCAGTCCTAGTTATGCCCAGCACATGCACAATGGCTTTCGTGCAGAAGCAGATGGGAAGGATTAGCTTTCACCTGCAGTGTCTTTCAACTTCCGTTCCCTTTGTTCAATCTAAATTTCTGGCTGCCAAACATTTATAGCTAGACATGCAGTATTATTATTATTATTAAAATTTGTATACCACCCTTCATCCAAAGATCTCAAGGCAGTTCACAAGATAACATGGCATGTATTCTGACTATATACAAATGCACTACCTTACAGACACTACACTCCCATTCATCAAGAGTGTCAAGTTCTATTTAATGTCTCCCCGTCACATTTGCTCCCATGTTTTTGGATCTGTAGGTCAATCTCATCAGCACCAGTTCCCACCGTCAACAAGATCTCTATGTTCCCTGTTATGAGTTTTATCTTCCTCCTGCTTCCAGTCAGCAGCTTCATGCCTGTGCACAGGATGTATGAACAGGAATTTAAGAAGTCTGCTACTTGTAGATGTTGAGCGCGTATGATGCATAGGTCCTGGAATTTCCTGTACAAACCACCTCTCTCTTTCCCAGGCCTAGGGAAGCTGCTTGTTCTCTCCTAACATTGCTTCTGGTTGGCTCCAGGTCATCTCCCAGGATCTGGAGAACATGTTTGCTAAACATCCTGAATCATGACTGGCCTTGGTTTTCCGCCCTCCTGTTGAGGGTATTCGCTCCCTGCCCATGCTTGGACTGTACTCACAGCAAATTGGTTCTTTAAGAACATGCCTGCAAAGGTAGGGGAGGAGCAATTAAGAGTATGATCCAAGTTTGATTTATACTCCATCTCCCCACAAAATGTCCAAGACAACTTTAAATATTCCTGTTTCAAAACGTCTACTTAATGCCCTGTAGCTAAAACTGCAGCATCTATAGTGGCCTACAGCACTTGTCCTACTCTCCATGACAGTGAGATAGGAATGCTGCAAACGGATTATTTTGCCCTGCAAATTTTGCGAAATGCTAAACAGTTATTTGAAACTTTTCAAAGCAAGAATATAATTTATTCCAATGAATGATGCTGACTTAGGTGTAGGCAGGCAAGCAGAACTCAACCTTTACCAAGAACCAGATAGAATATTTTATTTTTTAGCCTAAGTTCTTGGAACCAATATCTGAAAGAGAACTAAAAGCAAAGCAAAAACACTAATCATCAGTTCAGAATAAAGGCTCAGGTAAAATACTGATGTGATCCCCCTAGGCTATCATTATGATGCAAGAATACATAAAACCAACATCTGAGAGAAGGTGGCATTGGGCATGGCATAAAGATTCATTTTCTGCAAAGAATGGAGGAGATCCTTGCATGAGTTGTCCCTCCCACTAGGCAGGACAGACATAAATTAAGCCCTTTTGCCCTCACATGGGAGGGCGAATGCTCCAGTTCTTTCCCACTTAGCTCCCAGTGCAGGTCAGGTGACAACAGTTTTCTGTCACCCTATAGGCCTGAGGAGAGGCTGGCATAAGGCTAATTACTTGGCTTGGAAGTGGAAGTTTGACACCCAGCTACATAGAAGTAAAGGCTTTCTTAGAGGGTCCTCTTTATTCTGCTGTTTCCTCAGATGGGGAAGCCATAGGAACAATGTCCCCCCACAGCAGCGGGCCACCTCAGCTGGGGCCCTGAATCTGAGGAAACAACTGAATTGTTCTGGGAGGTTGCAGAGGCTGCGGGTCCATCACCAGCCACCTTTGGAAATTTACAGTCAGATCTCTTTTGGAGAGAGGCTCTTGGTCTAACGCTACAGTTTACTGTGAGAGACTGGAGAGAAATGTCTGTTAATTATAATGCACTGCAATCTCAATGTATTGTAAAGTCCTTCCCTATGGTGTAATACTCAGAGAGTCTTTCTTGCTCTTACACGCAGAATTGCAGAGTTGGGAGGGATGCTTATGGTGATCTAGTCCAGCCCCATTGCCCTGCAGGAATATGCAGTAAGGGAACTGCCCCCTGGACATTCCTGCAGAGCTTGAAGCATTCTTTCTACAGCTTTGGCCTTTAAAAAGACAAGCTATCTATACAGGCTTGGTGGGGACGTCAACAAGGCACCACACAGTGCAAAGTGAATCAGGCTCCGAGGGTCCGGCAGGTAATTCTAACAGATTTGAAAGTAGACACAATAGTTCCGGTATCTTGCCCAAGCATCAAAAATCATGTGTCAGTGGATGAGCCCTAAATTTGCTACCAAGCTTTTACTGACCCACACTGGAACTCAGGTGGTATACCACAAGCTGTCCATTAGTGAGTCACATCACTGTTCTATCTAGCCCCCTCTTGCTTAATCGGACTGCCCAGCAGTTCTCTCCATGTTCCAGCCCTCCTACCCAAGATGCATTAGCTGGCGATGCCAGGGATCAAATCTTGCACCTTGCGCACCTTCATGTATTCAGTCACTGGACTGTGCACCCCCGGCTGTTCCCGCAGTCAATCCTGATCTGGAACTAAACAACAACAAAATCAATGGTTCGAATCCCAAGAGAAAAGACACACCGTGCTCACTGACTCCGTTCCACTCTCAGCTAGTTCCGTCTTTTTATTTGCTCAATAGCCTTTAACTGGTTGCCAAACAAAAAGATATAACAGCACATTTGTAGCTATGACACCAACTGGCATTACCACAAGACAGAGAAGGTGGACCTGCCAGGCCCCTGTGAGCCTGCACGGTGTGGCAGACCCTCCCCTAAAATGGAACACAGGGCCTTCCGACAGTTTCCTTACAATTCTGCAGGGCTTACAGGGAGGGGCTTCTGATGTGGTGAAAGAGCAAGAGCTAGTCAGGAAGCAGCTCATATAATTCATGAAGTGTGTAAAAGCACATCATCGCTGAATAGTTTGGTGTAAAAGAAAGGAAGGAGAGAAGATGACAGGAGAAGTCTGCTTTAAAGAAATCTGCGCCAAAGGTTCAGGGGCTTCCTTTGTCTTCTTCACAAGTCTCCTTCTTAAATTCCTCATAGACAACATCTGGCTTGTCATCCTTCTCTGCACCCTCTGCTGTTCGGGCATTTGGCACCCACAGGCCAGAACTGATGCAGCGCTGCATGTGGTATTTCGCTTCCTACAATGGGACACAAAACACATCCTGCTTAAGGGCCATATGTTACACTTTACATGACCTAACAACTCTAAGGAACTTCTTATTCATTAGGCTTCTAAGCAATGGAAACTACTGATAAAACCTAAAGCTTTGAAAAATGCTTGGAAAACGTTGCTTTTTTAAATAGGAGTCAAAGGTTTACGATCTCTGAACTAAAGGAGTATTTGACCAATATGTGGTATCTAACCAAAACTACAATTCCCAGGAAGGCAACATAACACTGCAGTCTGCAGGCTGCCTGCACAACTCCATCAGCAGATGTGCTAACATTACAAACTAGGAGAGATCTCTTTGAAAATAGGTAAGCTCTTTAAAAACTTTTGCAATGAAAGTGAGTAAATACCAATTCCAAATCGAGCTAAGGGGAGCTCATCTATTACTAAGTTTGAATGTCTTTTATCCTAAAATGAAAGGTTAGAAAATAAAGCAAGACTGTGAACTTCAAGAATAGTCTTTAAGGTAAGTAGTTTAAACAAATCTGCAGCAGCGGCTGCTATAGCAAAGTATGCAAGAGGCATAAAGTCTCTTACCCTAAACTAGTGATGGCCAAACTTGGCCCTCCAACTGTTTTGGGACTACAACTCCCATCACCCCTAGCTAACAGGACCAGCGGTCAGGGATGATGGGAACTGTAGTCCCAAAACAGCCGGAGGGCCAAGTTTGGCCATCACTGCACTAAACCATAGGTCTTTACAGGCAAAAGGGAAGCCTCTGTTGGGATGTATCAATTTCTTATAGAAATGATGACAAAATTCCCTCAAGTGGCTCTATGCTTAAGGAAAATTTTGGTTAGAAAAAAGAAATTTGATTAGAAGGGGAGATTTCTCCCTGCAAGTCTGATTCCTAATGTAAAATACAGTGGTACCTCGGGTTAAGTACTTAATTCGTTCTGGAGGTCCGTTCTTAACCTGAAACTGTTCTTAACCTGAAGCACCACTTTAGCTAATGGGCCTCCCGCTGCTGCCGCACCGCCGCCGCACGATTTCTGATCTCATCCTGAAGCAAAGTTCTTAACCCGAGGTAATAATTCTGGGTTAGAACTGGGTTAGTTTGTAACCTGAAGCGTATGTAACCCGAGGTACCACTGTATACAGGCGCTTATTTCAGTAGCTTATCAGGTTTGGAGCCAGCATGCAATGCTGAAATTTAAGCAGGGTACCAAACACAGCTAATGGGTCCAATAAGCTGTGTAGTGGAAGGTCAATAATGCTTATGGTACTTTTGTAGATTAGGGTGCTTCAGCATGCAATTGTACGCGCCAAATTTCCCAAAATGGGCTGCCACGAAAAATCACACAATTTACGGATTTGGAGGGCACAGAGGAAGTTTAATTATTAACTGTGGCAGATGTGAGCACGTCTTCAAGCCTTGCGTCGGAGGGGAGAGTAGTGGCAGAGAGTGCTCATACATGTTTGAATGTGTAAATTAACATCTCCTATATCTATCTGGATACATAGTCCCATAACTTGAAAGGAAGGAGTCTAATCCTAACTTGGAGAATACTCACAGCAGGTTCCATTTTGCTGATAGCATCCTGAAGCATCTGTACATCTTTCACATCAAAGCATTTCTGGAGCTCCTGGGAAGAAATATGCATGTATATAGAGGGGAAGGGATGATAGCACTGCAGAAATCTTAAGTTGTAGAAACAGTAAAGGTAAAGGGACCCCAGACAGTTAAGTCCAGTCGCGGACGACTCTGGGGTTGCGGCGCTCATCTTGCTTTACAGGCCGAGGGAGCCGGTGTTTGTCTGCTCTGCAGACAGTTTTTCCAGGTCATGTGGCCAGCATGACTAAGCCACTTCTGGCACAACAAAACCCAACATCAGAGCAGTGCACGGAAATGCTGTTTACCTGCCTACTGGAGCGGTACCTATTTATCTACTTGCACTTTGACGTGCTTTCGAACTGCTAGGTTGGCAGGAGCTGGGACCGAGCAACAGGAGCTCACTCCGTTGCGGGGATTCGAACCGCCAACCTTTTGATCGGCAAGCCCAAGGCTAAGTGGTTTAGACCACAGCGCCACCCGCATCCCAGAGTATAAACAGTACAGACTATCTAAAGCTCAGAGGCAGAGCACGTGCTGTGCAAGCAGAAAGGCCTGCATTCAATTACAAATAAACTGGCTATTAATAAAGTAAACTCTCTAGAGTCACAGAAGTGTAGCATTGGAAGGAAACCTGAGGGTCATCTAGTTCAACCCACCGCAGTGCAGGAACGCCAACAAGCTTCTAGGAGCCACAGGTGAGAGCAAAGTGCAGGGTGGGGATCAAAGTTGGACAAACCACCTTGGAGGGAGGACGATGTGTCCTCTGCCAGGAGTACTACTCCTCCCCTAACACCCCAAGTTGCAGATAGGTAAGAACAGAAATGGCTAGAACCCCTGGGCTAAGATAAGGTTAAAAACTGAATATAAGTTAGAGGTGGCTAACCCTGGGAGCCAGGCCCATTGCCCCAAACATTTTCTTCTAAGCTCAGAAGACACTGTTGATTTAGGTGGCAGCAGCAGCAGAGAAAAAAATATACAGGTAGTCACAGCACCTCTGTTCAGCCAAGACCCTTGATAGGCATATAAATTGCCCCCTCCCCAGTCATCACGCATCTCATAGGCTAAAAAAAGGTAATGAGGGAAGCCTCAGCTGATCTGCATGGATCGGCTGAGGAGAGGCTGTGTGCTTGTGTGAGAAATGTTCTGCGGCCACGCTGTCTGCTTTCACACTCACCCCCACTCCTAAGGATAGGCCAAGAGTGAATGGACAAAAGCAAGTTAAGCCACCATGCGCGTGTACACATACACACACACACACACACACACACAGAGAGAGAGAGAGAGAGAGAGAGAGAGAGAGAGAGAGAGAGAGAAGCAAAAAGGTTAACCTCATACAATCAATTTGTTCAGTTAGAAGCATTAGTGACTCACGGGTGGGAGCGATTCATACACCTCTACAGGATCAAGGCCACCAGGCCCCAGTCGTTTCTGGCGCTCTTCTTCTTCATACTCTTTCATGGCTCTCTCAATGCGTGCCTTAGCCCGGCCCCGCACCCGTTCTTTGAAGGCTTCCAGTTCATCATTAAAACCCTCCATGTACTGCTGGTCAGCAGTCTGTATGAAATTGGAAAAGGTGGCAGGTAAGAAAGGGGGGGAGGACACACCTGAGAACACAGTACTGAACTGAGCAGATATCTTGCCCTTTAACAGGGGAGCAAATCAAACTTTACAAGATGTTACGCTTATCTTGTCCATAAAATGCCAACCAAAACCTAAATACATCACGCTATTTAAATACACTCAAGCCAGAACTCTGCTGAACTTCCAGAAGAAATGAGTTTTTAATAATAATTAATAATAATAATAATTTTTTATTTATACCCCGCCCTCCCCAGCCAAGGCCGGGCTCAGAGCGGCTTACAAGCAATAATAAAAACATTTATTTTAGAAGCATTACCCCCTCCGCAGAGACTTCAAAGGGGTCCAGTATAATCAATGATCAGCTGACTGGTAGTCACAGAGAACCTCTTTCAAGCTGTGTAGGTACTGATCAGCTAACTGACACCAATCAGCTTTCAATTTTCATATATTAATCATCTGACGTCATTATGACATCATGTGACTGACAGGTGAATGGTTCAACTCACCTGTCAAAGTTGGTCCGGGGGTGGGGGAGAGCCAAGATAAGGTTTTCCTCTATTACCTGGGCAATAGTCTCACCTTGATTTTAGCAAAGAACTGTCTGAAACAAGCTCTAGGGTCAACCTTCAGGCTCTTGGCCAGCTCAAGGATGAACTGCATCACTATGGTCTGATGAGCCACTTGTTCCATCAGGGCATTTTTCTGAGATAGGCGACAAAAGAACAGTTGCACTTTTAAAGACACACTCACACTCCCCTTGTCAATATTTGAGCCTGGCCCAGCATGCAAATGATTACATTCAGAACGTCATACAAAACTCACTCCCAATCCTCCCTCTCTCCATCTCAGCTTCAGGCTCCCAAGGTTACAACCATAGGATACAAGATGGCCCAGAACCATGTCCATCAAGCATACAGCATTCTGCCTTTCTGCTCCCTTCATTTCCCCAGGATAGTATCTAGAATCAACGCTGTGGTTTTGTGGGTTGTTGTTTTTTTGCAAATTCATGAGGCCATCTCTAAAATTGGAATTTTCTTCTGGGCATATAGCTGGCAGTGAGACAGCAGTGGCTGACTCAGCAAGACCCAGCCGCTACAGTACCAGACACAAAACAACACTTGAAATAATTCCACTGTCAGAGGAAATAAATCCTGCAGAGCAGGTTCAAGCAATCTGTTAAATGTGACAGAAGAACCACACTGGCTGCTTATGAGGTAGCCAGCCATCAAACTGCACAAAGTGACTGAAGCAGGTTCACAGAAAACTCTGCTATTAACTCCTAGTACTGAAGCAACTGCTAGATCTAAACACTTATTTGGAACCTTTATAATAAGACCTGAAATACAAGCAACCCCCATTTATGCACGTTCAATATGTGCGACTGTGCAAACGCACATCATGACAAACCTGGAAGTGACCCTAAAACATCACAAAAAGGGGCATAACAGGGTGTTTGCAGGCTTTTTCAATGGTGTTTCAAATACATGTGATTTCACTTAAATGTGTGGTGCCTTTGAACATAACCCCCGTGTAAATGGGGGTTGCATGTAAATACAGGCAGGAGGCCCTTAAGGGCTTGCCTTGAAGTCACCAAAGTTGACAGTCCTCAGTCTTTTCCACTGCAGCTTCTGGAAAAGCTACATCAGCTTTACTCACCTCTTCTACTTCCAGATCGATACACCAAATGACTAAATAATTGGCTGTCTCTTCACACACAAGATACGGGTTATCAGACAGATATTTCTGGCTGTCATCCCAGCGCCGCAGCATTCCTTTTGGAACAAGAAAATAGGAGCATAAAAATCAGATTGGGGGGGGGGGGTAATTTCCTAACCAGGCTTTTGGACTTTTAACACACAGATGACAGCACTGTAAAAAACTGCTAGCACTTTACAGTCCTATAACAGGAAACACATAAGCAGCAACTGGGGAAGTCAGAATAGTGATGAAGTTTGACTTGGGAACATACATAATATTAAAGAAGTTAAGTCCTTATGGTAACAAGATTATTAAAACAAAGAAGAAATTGCAATTGGTCAATTAGTACAAGGGCGAAGGATACTGGTTTCTAAAAGCTACTTTATATAACCTGAATCAATGTTCATGTAAGATGCATTGATGTTCATGTAAGTTAATGCTATTTATTTTTAAATGATCAAGCAGAGCTGCTTTTATTTTCTTAAACACAGTATAAGAAACTTATTCCACACTAGTGCTAAAAAGGCTTGCCTTTGTGTGAACACAGTCCTCAATGCAAAATGTGATTGCTGGTCCTTGTTGCAATGGCAGGGTTCAGAAGCAGCAATAAGCCAGTCTAGAACTACAGTAGCAAGTCTGCCAAGTATTGGGCTCAAATGCTCCTCTCCTCTCACTTTATCAACTATAGCCACAAGGAGACTAGAAGCTTTTGCTTCTGGGTCCCGGTCCCGTCCCCCCCAACTACAGTTTCATACTGTATGGGGACCAGGAATTGCTCACTTTGGTGTGTTCCTAAAGCATGTTTAAGACCTAAGAGACTCTGTCTTGTTTTGCACAGAACAAGCAATTTGGTCATTGAAAAGCAAAGCATATCTTCCAATATCCTAACGCTGGTCTGGAGATTAGGGTTACGGTTGGAGTCGGGGTTAGGGTTAGGTTAAGTAAGCAACTCATGGAGTATTACATCTGCACATCCTCATTTTTCTAGATGCATTTCTCCAATGTATTATTTACAGAGTAGGCGCTGGAAACTGGCAGTCCCCAATCCAACCAATGCTGCCAGCTGGACCAGGCAAGCTCCAGTTACCTTTAGCTGCAGCCTGACAGGATCAGGCACATGGTTATGTTGATTACCATACCATTCCCTCTCCCAGAATAGGACCTAACCCAATTTTGTAACCGGGAAAAACAGATACCCATGTTCTCCTGATATAAGTAAACCAAAAGGGATTGCAGTAGAACAAGAGTCAAGGTTGGGTACAGAACATATCATCCTGTTATTTAGCTCTGGGTGACCAGACAGATTTCTACACAGTCTCCTAACTACAGTGAGAGCTATCTGACTTTGTTGAAGGGGGTCAAGAGCACCCTGCTTCCCTGCACGTAGGGAAGACAAAGAGACCATACTGAGTACAACTACTCATTGGTTTCTGGTACTCATGACTGCGGAGTCCCTCTCTTCTGATCTTCTTTGAAAGAACTTTAAGCTAGAATTACAAGCCAGCCACACCAAGTCTACCTAACTGCAAATGAATATCAATCAATACTTTATTGGGGTCCAAAGACCCATAAAACATAAACCATAAAACAATTTCAAAACTAGATACAGTTAAAACGACCAGACAGACAGATGGTAGAACCAAGGCAGCCAGCAAATGAGTATCAGTCCACAAAGGTTGTACAGTGGTGCCCCGCAAGACGAATGCCTCGCAAGACGGAAAACCCGCTAGACGAGAGGGTTTTCCGTTTGCGATGCGCTTCGCAAGACGAATTTCCCTATGGGCTTGCTTCGCAAGACGAAAATGTCTTGCGAGTCTTGCCATTTCCCCCCCCGCTTTCCCCCCCTTTTTCTAAGCCGCTAAGCCGCTAATAGCCTTTTAGCAGCTCAGCCGCTAAGCCTTTAATAGCCGCTAAGCCGCTAATAGCGCTAATCCGCTTAGCCGCTAATGGGGTTGCTTCGCAAGACGAAAAAACCGCTAGACGAAGAGAATCGCGGAACGGATTATTTTCGTCTTGCGAGGCACCACTGTATCTGCAATTTGCCACACTGATCTCAACTGCTCTTAGCCACAGAAAAAGGTGTTTAACCCAAAGCACTCTCAGATCAGTGCAGAGTTTTCCCTTACCAAAGTGTTTAATTTGCTTCTCATACTTCTCCACATATGTTTTGTGCTTTTTCTCTTTCTGTTCTTCTGACTCCTCGTCCTGCTCCGCCTTGACATTGAAGACACTCTACAACAGCAAAGGAAGCATGGTTAGAATCACTATTGCTACCACAACGCAGTCAAGGTTGGCCAAACCAACAAAGGGTGGCCAGGATAGTCCTAGGCTGAATACAGTAAGAAAAGGAAAATACCAGCAAAAGAATGAAGAGATGAAGCAGCTTCAAAAGGATCAAGTGCAACTGAACAGATAAAACAATCCAGAAAACCCAGGAAGAACAACCTGCAGCTCTACAGAGGTTGTTGAACTACAACTCAGATCATCCCTGACTATGTGGTCGGTGGGGAGGGGGGATTTGGAGTGTAACATGATCTGGAAGGTGACAGGCTTCCCATCATTGGTGTAAAATATTTGGCAGCCTTGCAATTAATTTAGTCATCTTTTTAAACATTTTATTGAAGTAAATCATCAATACAATAAAAATAAAATAAATAGTAAAAAGCAGCACAGTATATTCAAGTGAGACTTAATATTAAGTTGGTAAAGTACTTAAGACCATTAGGAAAGATGAATTTCACATTTTATTGTGGAGATGAGTCCTATGTGTTTATTTTTTGTATATAAGATAATTTTTCAGGGTCCTCCAAGTCTTTGGCAACACATAATTTATGAATTCTTTTTTCAGCTAATGCAAAACTCCACATATTTTTATACCAAAACAAACACCACAAATCCAGCAAGGTTTTCCATTTCTGGGCAACTGAGGTTCTAGGCAACTCTGACTCTATGTCAAGAGTTCTCGAGAGCTGAAACTATTCAAATGATCATCCCACAGATCTAGTAAACAAAACTGTGCTGAAGTTGGAATGGAATGTCAGAGTATTTTGGTCTTGGCAAACTTAACTAAAACTGATTCCATTGCCCTTGAAGATGAGTCACTCAACTCATAATACTCTGAGCCTTAACAAATGGGTTTAAGGGAGTCTTTCTGAGGCTTTCATTTCTTCATCCCAGAATATTTCTAAGGCTTGATTCCCATTCTTGCTTCCCTCAGTTCAGTACTCAGGAAATAAAACCAGTGTTTGGTATGCTATCCTAAAACCTAATTGTTAGCAACTGCATTTTTTATTTTACAGATATAATTGCTGTAAAAACTACTTTGATTTTTTAAATTAAATTGTGGCATACAAGTATTTTTAAAAATTTGTAGAGTTCACTTTTCATCGACAAGACAAACAACAATCTTTGCTAAAAATTCTGATCCCTCCAGAAGCCTTATTATCAAGCCCCCAAAAGTTATTTGCCTGCAAAATGTTTTACTTACTTATTTATCACTGATAAGAGTAAATGAGTATAAGTAAAAAGAAGGAGACAACATACACAACAAGCCATAAATAAATGTAGCATATCACTTAGTAATTAGAAAACAGACACTAATGCACAGCAAACACCCAAGTGAAAAAGCAATTATTGAGCCGGCGCTTAAAGCTCTTAATAGTCAGTGCCAGGCGCAACTCAGAAGGCGTTTCATAACTGGAATGCTAACACTGAGAAGACCCTCCACTGAGTTGCTGCCTGGAATATTTTAGGTGGCTGTAGCACTACCAAAAGCTCCTCTGCCACAGGTCTTAACAATGCAAGGGCAGGTGGACATGGGAGAAAGCACTCCTTCAAGTAACTGGATCCCAATTTATATAGGCCAGGGCATTGAACTAGATTTTTAAATTTCTTTCATAAAGTTTTCCTGATATATGTAAAAAGTCATCCAAGGCCCAGATATGTGCAATTCACATAATTTAGTTTAAGGCCAGACACTGAGTCTTCCCGGTAGCAAATGAGTGCAATATCAATCAAAGCTGCATAGCAACTAGACCCACCTTACTGAAGCCATCTCTGCTGAGTGTGTCCACATTCCAAGGCATGTTCTTTTCCTTCTTCCTGAGATCGTCCGCCTTCTCTTCCCAACTCTTCTCTTCTTTCTTGAGTTGCTGTGCCTCAGCCTGCAGCCTTTGCAGCTCACTTTTGGTGCTATCTACGTTGGCCAATTCAAGCTCTTTTATCTTCTTCTGACACTCAGCTAGTTTCCGCTTGCAATCCCGACACCCTTTGTCCACCTCTTCTTTCTCCTTGTGGAACTGTTCCATTCTCTCGACTCGGGCCTGAAAAATGGGTTGTATTCAGTCAATATAGTCCAAGTGACTACAGCCTCTTTATTACTTCAAGCTAATACTGGGACACTTCCAACCCAGAATGAGGTACACCAAGTTACCTGTATGAAATATAGCCATCTGGCACCTTCTATCGCAAAAAGGTTAGTTCATTTCTAGTTTAGAGTAGTGCTGTCAGCTGAGACCAGGACCTTACACACACACACAACCTCCAGTTGACAGAGAAATGTGGGACAAAGTCCCCTGCCACCAGCTGGTGGACTTCTGATGTATTCATCTTTTTAAAAATAAATAAAATCCTAGCTGTTTTCTCCTCCCAACCAGGCAATATTAAGCTCCTGGCAGAAGCTCAAGTTGAAGAGCAAGAGCTAAAGGGCTCTTAACCTTTGACTCATAGCCTGTAGCCTGCAGCCCAAGGAACAACTTTCCACTTCCACCACATGGAGACTAACTAGTAAGCATGTGCAAGGGCACCAGAAGGCATCAGAGAAGATTGCTACTGAAGGCCCCCATGGGTTATCCTGAAGTCAGCATAAAGCAAAGATATAATCTTTCTTATTCTAAGCTTCTAGGGGTCTGTACTTGGCTAGAAAGCCTGGTGTAGGGTACTGGACTGTTTCTTTTTATGGCAATTATTAACATTGTAAGTATTTGTAAATTTATTTTAATTTATTTTAGTTTTTTTAAAAAGTTACTTAGCAGTTATTACACAGATTGGATGGTTAGAACAGAGTGGTGGTGAGAGTAACCTTAACTCTTCTGGCTGCGTTAAGCTTTTTAAAGAGGAGAATTCAACATTGCATTAAGTTGATTGTTCTGTCAGAGCAAACTTTTCAGCCTACCAGCCAGAACAAGCCCCCTCTCCTTGTTCAAGGAGTCTGCCTGATACATACACCCAGAAAATATAAGGTCTTAGGAGAGGGTGTGTGTGAAAGCTGTGTTGCACAAGCAGAAGACCTTGCGCAAGGCTTCCACTGACGGGTCTTGTTAGGTGGATCCCACCCTTAATATTTATCAATGTCAGTTCAGGCTTCTAGCCTCAAAAAATGAGGGATATAAAAAGCTTGATGAGAGCATATTTTCATCCTTGTGACAAGGCTTTCTTTTGGCCCTCCTATGTTGGAATTTTACAATTTTATATACTTATTTTTGCTTGCCGATTTGTTGGGATTTTATTGTACTAATAAAAAACTCTCACACACAAACCTTTACATGTGCAGAAAGGGAGTGCATGTATACTGCACAAAGACAGCAGCCAAGCAAAGAAAAAGCAGCTGCTCCGCACATGAATACCTCCTACCTACAAACATCTTTCTGCTCCTGCATACACAGCAGCGTGGGTGGGTGGAGTAGCTGCTGCGGTGGTCGCTGAGAGTTTTGGAACCCAGGAAACAAGGCTGGCATTGCTTTCTGGGCAAAGCTTTCCTGACAGAAATCTGGTATCGCAAGTCAAAATATTCAGCAACCAGTAGGAGAATACTTCAAATTCCAAGTACACCCTGCTACTCTGACCTTGAAGTCATCATACTTCAATAGCAACTACAAGACTTCAAAAGGGAGTATATCCAAAATGAGATTGCTGAACTAGAATTTATCAGCAAAGCTGAATAGCTCAATTCAGATTCCTGGCTTGTCTTTCACTCCATAGAAAATAGCAGTCTCACTTCAGGAGTTCAGACTAACAGAACAATAATATTACAATGTCTTTACTCCTTCATATTGTGAATGGATCACTCATTCTTTGCATAAATTTGGACTCCGTATAACAGAATTACAGACTTACTGCTGCTACCTTTTGCAGTGTACTCATGTGTCAACTCCATATCTGTCAACTGAGGACACTTCACACAACATATAATGGGCTTAATGGAAACATATGCCACAAATAAATCTGCTAGTCTTTAAGCTTCAAAGGCAAAAAGCTCTGCCAACATTTTATACACACTTTCTAGTTTCTAAACACAGCAAGTTAAAATAGCAAGAATCAAGCAGTTTTCAAGGCAACGTTGTGTTATTTGACAAATTCCTCTAGCCTCTGCAAGGGAATGGGGACCAGTAGTCCTAACAGGGAGCTCAGGCAGGATAAAGCCGTTACAAATGTAAGAAGCGTTACAACTAAAATGGGCAAATAAAATGTAAACATAGGAGCAGCATAAGCCAATTCTTCCTTCAAAAGGGATAGCCATCACATACTGTATATGCAATTTCAAGATCATTACTCTTTTTGGCAACCTCGCCTTGATTTGTCCTTCCATCAAGCTCATGCTTGCAAGCTTTAGACAGAGGCTCCTGTGTGCAGCAAAAGATATGCCTAGTAGGATTAATCCCCCAGCCTATATGGAAGGAGGTCAGAAGAGATTATCATCTCCTCTGATCTCACACACTGTGAAGTGTAAGCTGGGATCTAGACATTTTTGGCATTATGCTGCCTTTACACTCTTGCCATTTTAACTTGCTGTTCGTTGGAAACTGACAAGACACACATTAAACTTATTACAGGCAGGGCTGTGTGTCTTCTGAACCTACATAAGGTGAGGCTAGAAACTGGAACAAAAAGTTTGAGCTGCTGAGAAAACCAAGGATAATTTTTTGCATTTATCAGTTTTATTCCTGTGCATCATACACATTCATTCCCACATGGTTAACACTAATCATTAAACATTTGGGCAGTTGCAAACTAAGGTTTTTCAATTCATTATTTGGCTGCAAACCAATCTTGCTCATAAAGCAAAATTGCAAAACAAATTGTGGCTGGTTTTTGTGTTAAATATATGCTATACGGTAACTGATGGACATAATAGGTATCTAAAGCCATTTGCACATGCAGAATGTAGGCACCCTATATACAGAAATGAGCAAAGCAGTGATATTTTAGGGAGCAGGCTAGCAGGCAGGGCCCATTACTTACACCATAGGAGCCTACACAACACAAAACACTCTTGCTGTATCTGTTTTATATTATTTGTTTTTTATCTTATATTTTGGAAATGTACATCCAGTTTTTCCCCTTTAAATTTTTGGGTGGCCCCAAAGAAAGCGGGGCCCTCAGCTATAGCTTGTTTAGCTTACAGGGGAGAGACTCCATCAGGCAAGGCCTCCTTCCACCTGCCTTGCTCCACCCTCTGCTTCTCAATGTGTATTGTATTGTTTTATGTAATGTGGCTTGCCGTTGTTTTATTGATTATGGTTTAGATATTACTGTAACCGTTGAGTGGATTTCTGTTTAACTTCTATATGTTGCTATTATTATTTTATACCATTCTAATGATTGTTGAATGTTACTTTTTTGATGGAGGTTGCCTATTTTAAAGTTATGTTTTACTATCACATTTTTGTATTGCATTAGATTGTTACAAGATGTACATTTTTTGTTTCTTCAGCTTGTAAACCGCCTTGGGTTTTGGAAGATAGAAAGGGGGTATACAAATTAAAAATGATGAATGATGATACAGTGGTACCTTGGGTTAAGAACTTAATTTGTTCTGGAGGTCCGTTCTTAACCTGAAACTGTTCCTGAGGTACCACTTTAGCAAATGGGGACTTCTGCCGCCGCCACGCAATTTCTGTTCTCATCCTGAAGCAAAGTTCTTAACCCGAGGTACTATTTCTGGGTTAGCGGAGTCTGTAACCTGAAGCGTCTGTAACCTGAAGCATCTATAACCCGAGGTACCACTGTATGTCCACCTGTCGTTTGTCACCAACAAATTGTGGCTGGTTTTTGTGAATATATGCTATATGGTAATCGATGGATGTAATAGATATCTAAATCCATGTGCACATGCAGAATGTAGGCATCCTTTATAAAGGAGCAAACCAGTGATATTTTAGGGAGCAGGCGGGGCCCATTACTTACATCACAGGAGCCTACACAACACAAAACACTGTTGCTGTATCTAGGTTTTATTTTATTTGTTTTTTATCTAGTATTTTGGAAATGTACATCCAGGGTTTTTTCCCTTTAATTTTTTTGGGGGCCCCCAAGAGAGCGGGGCCCTCAGCTATAGCTTGTTTAGCTTATACGTAAATCCGGCACTGCTCAGGGGTAGAAGCGAAGGGAGGAGCATAACGGGAAAGTGGCGCGTCCCGTTCAGCCGCGCGCGCGCTCAGGAAGGTCCAGGCCTCAGAGGGGTCGCGTAGAGAAGGCTCGCCGGAGAAAGGGGTCGGGGTGGCGGCGGGCCTGTTTCGAGAACGTCGCCCGCGAAGGCTGAGGCGGAGAGGGCAGGGCGGGGGGAGCCTGAAGGAGACGGAGGAGGGGGAGCAGGCCGGCCTTTCCGAAAGCGGAGGGAAGACACTCCGCCGGCGCAGGAGCCTGGCGTGAAGGGAAGCTGCTGCACCTGAGGAGCTTCTGCAGGCGGGGCGGGGCGGGCTCCCTCTCCCCCTCACCTGGTGCCGCCATCGGAAGAGGCTGGGCGTGTCGATGTTGGGGTGAGTCTCGTCCTCATCGTCGGACACCTCGATGTGGTCCCAGACGCTGTAGTCCACCATGGCCGCCCTCCTGCCGGCGTTGCTGCCTCCGCTGCTGCTGCTGCCTCCTCCGCCTTCGGGAACTTCCGCTTCCGCTTCGACGTCACTTCCGGAATCTCGGCGCACGCGCGCGGAAACCTCGCGCCGCGCCGTTACTTTCTCCCACCCCTCGGGGGCGCGTGCGCCGACCGCTTTCTCGCCTCCGCGGCGCCGCAGGGAAGACAGAGAGATACGAAGCAAAGGCAAGAGGTGCTCCACTCAGGCGGCCCTCGCGCGTCCCCAGGCCTGTTTTTGAAAATGCCCAGGTGACACCTCTTTCCCCGGGAAGTGCCTCTTCGGCAGCCTGGGCTGTGGCCGAAGGGCTCCTCGGGCGGCCGGGCGGCTGCACATGGACATAGCCCGGTTCATAGTTGTCAAGCGTCGCTTATTTGGAGGGACAGTCCCTTATTCCAGCGCCATGTCCCGCTGTTGTCCCTTCTTGATGGATGTCCCTATAAAATAAATAAGTAAATAATAGGTGCTTTATAATTCCCTATACTGAGCAAACAGAACGAGGGGGAGAGACGTGTAACCCAGAAGCAGCAAAAGTCACAGCGCCTGCAACTTTTTCCGTGCAAATTGTGTTCGTCGTAAGTGATGGTACAATGTCAATTAACGCACCACTGCAAAATTAAGCGAGTCCCAGAACCATAGGCGCCGACTCCATGGGGCTTGAGGGGGCCCGAGCCCCCTCAAAAATTCGTTTGGGGGGGCTCCGCCCCCCCAATAATCTCCGGCGCCCCTCCAGCAGAGCGCCATCGCCGCCCCTCCCCCAGCCCAAAATGCACAGGGAGGGGCGGGCTGCATGCCTCCTGCCCTCCCTCCCGAGCAAAAGCTCCACCCAATTTCCTTTGGAGCTTATTAATAGGCGCAGCACGCTCTCCCCTATTCGCTCACGAGGAGGCGGCGCCACTTTATTTGCATATTCATGAGCTTATTTATTATTCATGAGCTTTCCCGGGCCCCCCCAATATTTTTTATAAGTCCGCGTCCCTGCCCAGAACCGTCTCCATTTTAGCAATTCAACCTGCTGGCTGGCAGTCAAGATGCCTTGCTTTGAGCGCTATGAATTTCTGAGCGAGCCGTTCTCATCTTTCCGTTCCTCTCTGTCGTGCACAAACACACACACAAGGTGACCTGGATTGCTGCGGCTTCAAAAGTTGTTAATTCACACAAACGTGTCGGTGGTGGAGGTGGGGAAGAGAACGAAGGCGCATTCTCTCCTGCAGGCCATAGCTGTCAAGCGTCCCTTATTTGAAGGGACAGTCCCTTATTCCAGCGCTATGTCCCGCTGCTGTCCCTTATTGATGGATGTCCCTTAAATGATGTCCCTTAAATTTCAAAGGAAGCAGCTCCTCTCCCTCCCTCTCTGCCGGCCAGGGAGGAGGGAGGCTCCAACTGTGTTGCTTGGCTGTGTTGCTCACCCAATAAGGAGTCTAAGAACACCTGGGGGGTGGATCTTGCATGCCTTGTGCTGATCAAATCGGCTGCGTTGCCTGGGGACTCGCCTTTGCTCAATGCTTCCCAGCGGAGAGGTGACGGTGGTTTTCCTTGAGGCTTCGTTTGGCTGCTGGCTGGGCTTTCTGCCTTTGGCTCAGAGGGGCTCAGAAGTTGAACATACCTGTGCTGAGTGCTCGGATCGGAATCGGATGGATACGTCATCGACGGCCCACTCACCCTTGCCGGCGAAAAGGTCTGTCTGCAGCGGGGGCACATGGTGGAGGGAAAGGAAATGAGATCTCGTGGGAGGGGGGCTTTTGAATTTGTTTTGGAGGCTCCTTTGATTGACTTATGGGGGGAAAGAAAGGAGCTGGTTGACTAAAATGGTGGGTGACTGGCGATCTCGTGGCGAGGGGAGGAGGCTGTGTGTGTGTGGCTAGTTAATGCAAGCTGAGGGGGTTTTTGAATGCTGGACGCCATGTTGTTGCACGTGCTGCTGCAAACTTTGCAGTGCAAAGCCAGGCCGGGGAGCCATCTTAAGTTGAGGCTGCGTAGGCCTTGTGGTGCATGTGATTCAGGTTCTCTTCAGTTGAACCTCTGGTTACAAAGTTGGTTGGACAGTGTTCTCGAAGCTACTAGCATGAGTTTGACCAGACTGCAGGAGGACAGGAAGACTGGAGCGCCTGGAACAGGTGAGGCTGCAGGTCCCTTATTTTCAAGGCTGCTGGTCCCTTATTTTCAAATCGGTAAATTGACAGCTATGCTACTGGCTCCCCTCGAAAGGGTGGCCCATCCTTCCTAAAGGCCTCATTTGTTCGCTCATTTGTTATTTTTGGCCCATCTCTGCTCCTTTAAGATAAAAGGTCTGGCAAATCCCAAGCTATCAAATGAGTACCTGGCAAGGAAGGCTCTGTAACTGCAGCTTCAGGGCTGCGTAAGACACAGAGTGCACTTAAAGCACACAGATCTCCCTGAATAATCCCAGGAACTGCAATTCACGTTCCCGCGTGACACACAGGCAGGCCCCACGTGCTGCCTGCTCTCTCCTTCGCGGCCTGTATGAAGGGGCTAAGTGGCACGCAGGCACCCCACCGATTTCCACAGTGACCTGGCTGCTGGTGGAAGGGGATTCACGCGTCTTGGAGGAACGTGGGAATGGGGGTGGGGGGAGGATTGGTAGGAGGAGACGATCCTAAGGTGGGATGGAATGGAAGTCCAGCAAGCAAACACCAGACCTCTTTTTCTCCTCTTTATTAGAAAACCTTTGATGCCAAATATACTAAAGAAGGGGTAGTTGAATGAAAGGGTCATATACATGCTCAGTTCTGGTGGCTCTGCATCTCTGAAAGCAGGAGGTGTATCTTCTCTGGCCTTCTGCTGGGCACTGGCTTGTTCATGTTCAAGCAGTCTGTGGCAGCAAAATGTTCTGCAGAAAAGGCCACCCGCAATTCCAGATGCTGCCACGTCTAGCGAGGGAACGTGGCTCGGTGGAACGCAGCAACCAAAGAGCAGAGGTTGCCAGAATTACCACCTAAGGTCCTGCATTTCCAAATGCAGCCACCTGCAATCTATGGAACTCCTAGACGTATGGGGCATGCGTAGTTGGGTACATGTTCCATCTTTTTTAAGAACCGTTAAATGAATGGAGGAGGATAGGCCTAACAGTGAATATTTGTGTTAACAACTAATAATTGAACACTTGGGGGGTTATTCTCTCTCCTTTCACCAGGTGCTACATCCCAACTCTGACCAGATGCAGCCGGGCATTGCACTGCAGGAACAGATTCTGGAACCCGCTGGAGGAAGAGCCTGTGGAACTCCCAGAGACAACTTTCTTCTCTCCATGCATTATGAAGAGTCCACGCCGCACCAGCACTCCCTGCCTTCTAAGTGGGTGGTGGCCCACTGTACGTGAGCATGAGGTGGAAGGATCTGGCGTAGTTGTTTTTCTGGAGGCAGGAGAGCTTCAACGAGAGCTCCGACGGGTACAGAGGAAAGGGGCTGGCCAGGAACAGCAGCAGCAGGATGGCGCTGAGGATCATCACCGTCCTGTTCTATATGGCAGGGAGTCTGGGGGGCTTCTGGGTTGGGAGGCAGGAGATGATTGAAGGCTCTTGTAGGCTGGATCCGGAAGGGGAAGCAAATGGTTCAGATTCGTAAATCTGGTTGTTGGTGTCAGTAAATGAGAGCAACGCAGCTGCAAACTGGATTGTTTGCATCACATGATGCGGCTAGCTGTGGGAAAGAATATCCCCGGAAGTTCAAAGGCTTCTCAGAGCTCTGTGAAGAGTGTAATTTGAGACCTTCCGTTTGCGTATGTAAAGGAAGTTTGTCATTCTTGCTAGATGAAGTTTGAAGTGGTCAGACATGATTTCTGTAGTGCTGTAAAGTCAGAAATAAAAGGATGTAAATAGACGTTTCTGACTATCTCCTTTCCCTGCTAGGGAAGCAGGAGGAGGGGGTGTGCATTTACCCACGCTGGGAAAATGTCGCCTATCAAAATTTCCCTGGTCTGTCCGGGATGTCAGCCAGAGGAGGTTACCGGAAAACAAGCTCCGAGAGCAGTGAGAGGGGCCAGCCTCTACGGAGGGGGCTTGTTTATCCAACAGTTGGGTCACTTCTTTGAATAATAATAATAAATAATAGTAATATTTTATTTATATTCTGCCCTCCCAGCCAAAGCCGGGCTCAGAGTGGCTAACAACAGTAAAATAATACAGCATTCTTTATGGACTTAGGTCTCTGTCACAAGAGACCAGGGCCCTGTGGGACTTGACATCTTTCCGCAGGGCCTGCAAGACAGATCTGTTCCGCCTGGCCTTTGGTTTGGACTCAGTCTGGCCCTTATGCTTCCCTCCCCTTATGGTTTTGATCTATGGGCTACTTTTAAAACGAGACTGCATTTTGAATTGCATTTTAACCTGTATTTTATTTTTATTTTTCTTCTTTTCCTATTATGTTTTTACTGTAATTTTACAGGTGTTAGCCGCCCTGAGCCAGGCTCTGGCTGGGGAGGGCGGGATATAAATAAAAATATTTATTATTATTATTGCAAGGAGATGCCACCAGGGCTAAAGTCTGGTAGGAAGCACAAGCTCAATGGGCCTTCTAAATCCAGAGGGGTGGAAGTGGCTGGAGGTTGTCCAGTGTTACCCAAAGAAAGCACTCTGCACATGCTCAGAAGTGCATTCCTTACAGCTTCAGGATCTCCAACCATTCATTTCTCGGTTGCAGCCCAAGGCAGCGAAGCCACAGGGATCCAGGGATTCGTTTTCTGGTGTTGCCCAACCTATCAACTGCTTACCTGCCCAATGTTGCTGGCTGGGGTTGGCCGAGTTTTCTTTTTCGCCCGTTGCTGTGACTGCTGCCTCTTTGGTCATTTCCCGCTTGCCTGAGATTGCACTGGGAATTGCAGATTGAAGACACGTAGGGAGACAGTCCCAGTGACCTGCAGAGCAGACCGTAAGATTATAAGCTGCTGCCCTCTATGGAGCCAGATCATTGGTCCATCTAGTTCAGTGTTGGCTACAGGTGAGGCTGCAGGTCCCTTATTTTGGCTGCTGGTCCCTTTTTCCCCCTAATCTGCAAGTTGACAGCTATGGCCCGGTTGTAGGGTTGCCATATTTCTTACATTACAGTATTGTTGTTATTGTTATTGTTATTGTTGTTATTGTTATTGTTGTTATTATTATTATTAATTTTATGATAACAATTTATTGATTTCCCAAAAATAACAAAAAAATAAAAAAATAATAATAGCCAAATTAAACCATAAATTTTTGGTCCACTTCCCTCCACTCCCCCTCTTGGTTCCATTATAATATACTTGTTTATGCACGTCCATAAAACCTTATATACTTAACAATCCAATCTTAAAACCTTCATCTTATTACAAGTGACGTTTAAAAGTTAAGCTAATGTAAAAATCTCTACACAAAGCTTTAAAATATGCATTGAACAATTGCCCTTTTTTGTAATAATTTGTCCTGCATAGTTCAGTAATTTATTTTGCCTATCTTCTTTGGCTGAGGCACTTTTTTTTTTTACTTTACTTTTTTACTGTTATTTTATGATAACAATTTATTGATTTTCCAAAAATAACAAAACAGAAACAGAAAATAGGGTTGCCGTACAGTATTTCAATAGGTAGAGAACAAGTCTAGTACCCACTAAGGAAGAATGGCAGTGCAAAATGTTCACATATGCTGAACTGGCTGGTCTGAGGAACAGGATAAGAGAAAACGAAGATAAGGAATATAAGGAGGAATGGTTAATGCTTATTGACTATTTCAAGAATCAGTATAGACTCTCGAGTAAATCCAGCAGAGTTGAAATAGATAAGAGATAACAGTTTGGATAATTAAAAAGATTTGATTATGTGGAGTAGTAGAAAAGTAAAAGGAACCAGGGAAAGTGTGGGAGAGGAAGTCATATGGTATATGTACGCATGTACAGTGGTACCTCGTGTTACATACGCTTCAGGTTACAGACTCCGCTAACCCAGAAATAGTACCTCAGGTTAAGAACTTTGCTTCAGGATGAGAACAGAAATTGTGCTCCAGCAGCAGCAGGAGGCCGCATTAGCTAAAGTGGTACTTCAGGTTAAGAACAGTTTCAGGTTAAGTATGGACCTCCGGAACAAATTAAGTTCTTAACCCGAGGTACCACTGTATTTTATATGAAGTTGTAAGTGAGGGGAGGGGGGTTAAAATATGCTCCCCATTCCTGTTTTTGAAAATGCAAATACAAATGAAAAAATACATACTTCAAAAAGTGAAAATCCGGACACAAAAGTTGTTTAGGAAAACACAAAAATGCACAAAAACACAAAAGTGCATACCACAGTAACAAACAAAAACAATATTATCCCACCCCACACTTATACATTGGGTGGGGCATTATTATCATTAATGATTTAACTTGTTTACAGTGATTCTTCATATATTCTACAAACGTTTTCCAGTTTTCCTTGAACACTCTTCCTGATCTCTTATTCTGCTGGTTAGACTCGCTAGTTCTGCATATTCCATCATCTTAATCTGCCACTCCTCCCTCATCGGAAATGCCCCCTCTTTCCATGTCTGAGCATATAAAATTTGGGCTGCTGTAGTTACATAGATTAATATTTTTTTATTATTATTATTATTTCTGGGGACATAACAACAACAACAACAATTTTGTTTATACCCCGCCCTCCCCAGCCAAGGCCGAGCTCAGAGCGGCTTACAAGCAATAATAAAAACAAGCTGAATGATTACAACTTAAAAACAAAATTAAAATACAACATTAAAATAAAGAAACGTTAAAATATTAAAATGTAGCCTCATCGCAGGAGGAGAAGGAAAAGAAAAAAGAAAGGGAGGGAGGGAGGGAATCAAATTGACCCCAAGCCAAAGGCCAGGCAGAACAACTCTGTCTTACAGGCCCTGCGGAAAGAAATCAGATCCTGCAGGGCCCTGGTCTCATGAGACAGAGCGTCTTCCACCAGGCCGGAGCCAGAGTTGAAAAGGCCCTGGCTCTGGTTGAAGCCAATCTAACTTCCTTAGGGCCCGGGACCTCTAGGGTGTTGCTATTTATGGACCTTGAGGCTCTTCGTGGGACATACCAGGAGAGGCGGTCCCGTAGGTACGAGGGTCCTAGGCCGTGAAGGGCTTAAAGGTCAAAACCAGCACCTTAAATCTGACATCTGACTCAATTATTCCTAAAAGAAAAGCTTCTGGTCTTTTTATAAAAGACCTTTTAAAGATTTCCCCCCCATTACATTATATATCATCTCCCATAAGCCTTTAGCTAGTTTACATACCCACCACATAGGTAAAACGTAACTTCTGGTGGTTTTTGTTACATTTCCAGCCATTACCTGAATCTGAGCTAACTTACTCGGTGTCAGGTTCCACTTATATGTCATTTTCATATAATTCTCATTCAATGCATAACAAGCTGTAAATTTTAAATCCATTTTCCACAGTTTCTCCCACAAAGTAAATTCAATATCATGTTCCATAACCCTCGCCCAATTTTTAATATCAAATTTTACCGATTCATCTTTTGTTTCCCACTCTCCTAATAACTTGTACATTCTAGAGATCAGTTGGTCTCTATTTTCTATTCGCTTTTGAATTGGAAACTTTGATCCATAAAACCATACTGCTTATGTAGTCTAGACATTACATTTCGTTGGTGTTATTGTAGCCAGTCAGTCACCATATTACTAACATCTTCTAATTTATTCAGTTTTACGTCTTGCTCTAAACAATCTAGAAGATCTCTGTATGTTCCCCAATGCTGGTCCATGTTCAATCTTTTCAAATAAATTGCTTCTTTGGGTGAGAGTTTCAAGCAGGTTTTTTTATTTCTCCCATACTCTATAGATTATTTCTAATTACATGATTCAAGAAGCTGTTATATATGTTGGCATTACCATACAATATGTATAAATAAGGAGACGACACAGGAGTTGGGGTGCAAGTGAGCTATGCAGAAGCAAGCTGCCGGCTAGCTTTGCAGAGCCTCTTTTTATTAGCAGAAGTCAACAATTGGAAACAGTAGTGTAAACCACCCTGAACTTAACATATTTCCAGCAAGGGCACATTTCTAGCGTGAGTGATACACGTGTCAAACAGGTGCTTCCCCTGACATTAGACAATGTCTGATCCACCCATCACGCTCCAGCCAAGTGAAACATTAAGCAAACAGTTTGCGAAAGGACAAAAGGTCAAGGGGAAAACCCTATTTTCCAGCCAAGAAGGTCAGAGAAAGCAAGCGTGATGCTCCCAGACAAGCTGTGGCATGTTTTGTGCAAGGTTTGCCTTTGCATTATGGAGCATTACCCTTACACAATAGACATGCATGCCAACCAAATTTAATATCATACCCATCTAAATCTAACAGCTGAGTGTTCTTCAACCGTATCCATTCCTTCAGCTAACATAGACATGCAGCTTCATGATATACATGTAAGTCTGACGGTGCGAATTTGACTCTGGTACTCCATGCTAAAATTTATTTTATTATTATTGCATTATTATTGTTGTTGTTGTTTTATTATTATTACATTTATATCTCAACATTTTCTCCAAGGTTTACGCACTCCCACTCCATGTCCCCTTTTTATCTTTACAATGACCCAGTGAGGTAGTTCAGACAGAGAGACAGTGACTGGCCCAAGGTTACACAGTGGGCTTCATGACTGAGCAGTGCTTTAAACTCCAGTTTCCCAGGTCCTAGTCCAACACTCTTAACCATTACACTACACCGGTTCTCTGAATTGGACGGGTCCCTCCCCACAAAGGCCAAAAGCCTCTTCAATGGCTGTAGGGTGCACAGAAAGGTAGCTTGGTTTGTGCAAAGGTGTCCATGGAGGGGGCTTGTTTTAAAACAAAAACCCAAACTAGGGCTGCTACCTGGGACTGGT